ATACCATAGGCTGATGCATCACATGCTAAGGTCAGCGGTAGTGTTGAGTCATAATGTACTAGTACCTTTTCACCAGTGAGCAGCTCCTTACATCTGTTAAATGCGTGCTGTTGCTCCTCCTCCCACTGCCAAGCCACTCCATCTCTAAGCAGCAAGTACAGCGGTGCCATGACAGTACTCTGCTTCGGTACAAAACGTCCATAGTAATTTACCAACCCCACAAACGCTTGTAGCTCTTTTACGTTTGATGGTGGTGCTGCCTCCTGTATTGCTCTGACCTTGTCTGCCGCTGGACGTACCCCCGTTTCATCCAACACATGTCCCAAGTAGTGTATTTGAGGTTTGTTAAACTCACATTTCTCTTTCCTCACTCGCAGTCCGTTTTCCTGCAACCGCTGCAGTACTCGGTCCAGATTATGCAGGTGTTCCTGTTCTGATTTCCCCGTCACCAGCAGGTCATCCAAATACACAAACACATCAAGGTCTTTCATTAATGTGTCCATCATTCTTTGGAAAATGGAAGGGGCTGAGCTGATTCCAAAAGGCAGTCTGTTGTACACAAAAAGGCCACGGTGTGTGTTTATAGTTGTGTACTTTTTTGAGTCCTCGTCCAGCAACACTTGTTGATATGCAGAAGCCAAGTCAACTTTTGAAAACACTTTTCCTCCACTTAAAGTGGCTAGTAACTCCTCAATTCGGGGAAGTGGGTAGATTTCTGTGTCTGCCACTTCATTAACAGTCACTTTATAATCCCCACATAACCTCAGGGTTTTGTCCCGCTTGCCCACTGGAACTATTGGAGTAGCCCACTCACTGTGTTTCACGGGTGATATGATACCAGTTTCCTCTAGCCTCTCTAACTCTTTTTCAACTTGGCTTTTCATTGCAAAAGGCAAAGGACGGCTCTTAAAGAACCTGGGACGTGCATCTGGCTTCACCTGAATGGTTGCTTTAACATCTTTAAGTGTCCCCAACTCATCCTTAAACAGATCTGCGTGCTTCTCTAACACATCCTGTACTGTTTTAAACTCCTGCTTACTTTCGAAAGCGAGCCTCTTAATTTGTTGCCAGTCTAATCTGATTTTGCGTAACCAATTACGACCACACAGGGCGGGACCATTACCTCCTACCACTAACACAGGTAACTTGTGTTTCTGACCCTCGTAACACACTATAGCTTTGAACTGCCCCTTTATGTTTTGCTTAGTGTAATTCTGAAGCCTAACACGTGCTTTCCACAGTGGCTTGTCCCTGAACTGGGTCTGGTACAACGACTCAGGAATAATAAGTCTGGCTGCCCCTGTGTCTATTTCC